GCTGTGGCTGCTGTACCCTGGCTCAGACCCTTACCCTGGATTCCTGAATGCACCTTTGGGGCCACCCCTACCCCCCAACCCCCCCAGGCTGCAGGGACAGATTCTCAGACACTCCAGGAGTAACTCTAAGGTAGGGATTCCAGGCTTCAGCCAGGGAGGCTCTCCCCATCTCTGCAAACATTTTCCTGTCCTCATCTTGGACTCTGCTGCCCAGCTCCACTCACCCCTACCCCCCAACCCCCCCAGGCTGTAGGGACAGATTCTCAAACACTCCAGGAGTAACTCTAAGGTAGGGATTCCAGGCTTCAGCCAGGGATGCTCTCCCCATCTCTGCAAACATTTTCCTGTCCTCATCTTGGACTCTGCTGCCCAGCTCCACCCCACCATTGGCAGCCAGCATTTCCTACAGGGCCACGGGGGATCGAGCAGGGAGGAGGGGCCGGGGAACTGAGTTCTCCTAGGAATGGAGGGAGAGAGTCTGGTGGTTAAAGCATGGGCTGCCCAGAGGGACCAGGAACCAGCCATTTCCTCAGCTAGTGCCAAGGACTGCTCAGGAGGAGCGGTGAGACCAAGTGCCACTCCTCTCAGACAGCTGACTCCAAGGGCTTTGGCTGTGCCCCAAGCCAATTGCCCCATTTTTTGAATGAGGAAATGAAACCATGGGTTTCAAAAATAGGGTGGATACACTGGAACATCCACAGCAGGGAGTTTCATTCACTGCTTTTTGAGGAATTGGGTGTAAATGTTTGTGAAGTTGTCAAGGCTTAATTGACAATGCTAAAATGATAAATATGCATAAACTGTAAGTAACATCTAGTACTGACTAGCAGTCTCCTTTTTGGGACAGGTGTCTACAAATCACTCAGTGCAGATCAAGCTTGATTTGTTGCAGGTTTGCTTGGTGCAAGGCCTCTTAGATAATGAATTTCCATACAACACAGGATGTGAGAGGTTCCCTCTGAGAAGGATGAAACTCTGAGGAAATTTCCAGGAGTTGTGGGCATATCCTGGAGGGCTTCCTGGAGGAGGTGGCATTGGAGATGGACCTTGGAGGAAGATTCAGATTTGAATATGTGCAGATAGGAAAGGAGACAATTCGATACAGAGGTGCAGCATGAGCAAAGGAGGGGAGATGAGGCAGCATTAGCAAGCGCTAATGACAATGACAGTGAATTATCTGGTTATGCTGCCAGCAGGGGCTAGGGCTCAGGAAGAGGAGTCCCAGGGGAAAGAGGAACCTGGAACCTCTTGTAGAGGGCCCTGAATGCTGCATTGAGAGGCAAAGTGAGTTTGGATTTGATTTTTGCAAGCAGACAAGAGAGATTCTTTGATAATACTCCCGCATTTGCCTTGTGTTGCACAGTTTATAGAGTGCTTTCTTATTTGATTCTCCAAAACCAAATGACAACACAGCATCCTGCGAGGCCAACACTGTTATTATCGTCCTGATTTTAAAGTTGAGAAACGTGACTCAGAGAGATTCACAGGAAGATCGGAACAGGATCTTAAACCTCAGACCTCCATCTCGAGTCCTTACTGTTCCTTGACAGTGTCCAACAGGTTTGGGGCTGGGAGTGAGGGGGATACAAGGTCTGATGTGTATCCAGGAGAAAGACTACTGTGGCTGCTATGGGGGAGGGGCATGCCAGAGGCGGCTGAGATGGGGCTAGGGGAGACCCAGTTGGACAGGGTTACATCATCATAGTGATAGGAGTGAGGCCAGAACTGGGGCAGAAACCTTGGGATGGAGGACAGGGGACAGCCCAGGACATACTAGGCAGTTAAGAGGTGCAGTTGCTAAAATTTGGCTGCTTTCTGGGTGAGTGGGGGGAGGGGGCCGAGAGGAAGGAGAAGTCAGTCATGAGGCCTACATTTAGTTTTGGGAGACTGAGGATAAAATTGCCTGTTTATCTTGTGTGTGGTGAGAGGGAGTAGGGGGAAATATGGGGTCCCCGGGAAACCTACACCTGCTGAGCCAGCTGGTACAGTAGTAAAGGGCTAGGGTTTGAGTCAGGTGGGCCCAGGTTGCAATCCTGCTGCTCATTCTTTTTGTCCACGTGAGTAAGTTATTTAAGTGTCCTGCACCTTAGTTCCTTTGTCTGTCAGATGTAAGAATAAGCACTCCCAGGGAAGTTATTGATAGAAAACTGGCTGCATCAACGGAGATCATAGTAATACCTGCCTCAAAGGACTGACCGAATGCCTGCCTGCTGAGCACAGTGCCGGGCGCGCCGGGATGGCAGTAAGCGCCAGCTCTTCTCAGCCGGTTCTCAGCCCTTCCCGCACATGACTTTGGAAAGTCCTCACAATGACGCTTCGAGGCAGAAACAATTTTTATACTCACTTTACAGATGAGGATACCAGGTATAAACCTCACTGATGCTTCACAAGGCTTTGCGATGGAATTAGCTTTTGCCCCACGTGGCAGGTATAGAAAAGGAGCAGCGGTGAGAGGGTAATTAACACCCCAGCAAAGGTGATGCCATGCTTGGCCTCATAGGTGGGAGAGTGGACGCCCTCCACGGGGGTGGGAGGAACGGAGGCCGGGCACCCTGGGGTTCCAGCGTGTCCTCTCCTAACCACTCTGGGCCTCTTTTCCTCTGTCTGCCCCCAGCCTCCAGCCGCTCCCACCCGGCCAGCCCCAGCCCACCAGGGCCACAGGCCAGCCCGGTGTTGCCAGTCAGCTACCGCCTGTCACACACGCGGCTGGCTTTCTTCCTGCGGGAGTCGCGGCCTCCGGTGCCTGCAATCACCAACAGCTCCCTGCAGCGCTCCGAGCCCTTTGTGGTGTTCCAGACCAAGGAGCTGCCCATCCTCAATGTCTCCCTGGGGCCATTCAGCACCAGCCAGGTGGTGGCACGGGAGCTCCTGCAGCCGTCCAGCACCCTGGACATCCCCGAGCGCCTGACGGTCAATTGGAAGGTGCGGGCCTTCATCGTCCGTGCCCGTGTGCCCGCCTCGCAGCCCGTGGCCCAAGTGCTGTTCTACGTGGCGGGTCGGGACTGGGATGACTTCGGTGTCACCGAGCGGCTGCCCTGTGTCCGCCTGCACGCCTTCCGGGACGCCCGGGAAGTCAAGAGCTCCTGCCGCCTCAGCGGAGGCCTGGCCACCTGTCTCGTGCGGGCCGAGCTACCCCTGGCCTGGTTCGGGCCCCCTGCCCCAGCCGTGCCACCCACAGCCCGCCGCAAGTCTCCCGATGGGCTGGAGCCAGAGGCAGCAGGGGAGAGCCAGCAGGCTGAGCTCTACTACACTCTGCATGCCCCAGATGCATCAGGGGGCTGCGGGGGCTCCCGGCGGGGGACTGGACTTGGGGCAGGGACCCGGGCTGAGAGCCCTACCCAGCACCCCCTGCTGCGCATTGGGAGCATCAGCCTGTTCCGGCCGCCCCCCAAGAGGACCCTGCAGGAGCACAGGCTGGACAGCAACCTGATGATCCGCCTGCCTGACCGACCCCTCAAGCCTGGGGAGGTGCTCAGCATCTTCCTCTACCTGGCCCCCAACTCCTCCTCGCCCTCCAGCCCCAGCGTGGAGCATTTCACACTCAGGTAGACCAGGTTATGGGTGGGGCCTGGCTGCCCTTCCAAGATCAACTGCATACCTGACCCCTTGTTGGGGGTCTCTCAGAGGGATCCCTGTCCAGCACCCTAATCCCAGCTCTTCCATTTATCACTTGAGCAACCTCAGGAAGACACCTCACTTATTTGAGCCTGTGTTCTAGTCTGTCTAAGAGCAACAAAAATTGCTGCCCCTGCTTCCATATCTCATAGAAAAGGCATCGTGGTAAAGGGGAGACATCAGCTTTCACAAGCGTGGGTGTCCAGAATGGTAGAATCGAGGCTAGAGGGGCCCTTAGACATAAGCTGGTGCAACTCTCCCATTTTACAGATAAAGACACTGAGGCCAAGGAGGAGAAATGGGGACCAGCCAAAAATGAACAGGAGTGTGTGCCTGTTTGGATATTTGACCATTTGACACAATCCTGGAGTTGGGAGAAAAACTTTCAGCATTGCCAGCTCTTTTTATGCCCTGAGAAGGACACAGTTCATGAAATCAAAAATGCCTTAAATCCTATTACATCCCCACCAAACATAACGATATCTCACAGTAGGAATTCATGATCTGAGCCGTGTTATGTGTGGGAACTGAAACATCACCATTAGCCTCCAACTTCTTTCAGTTAAGTATTGCCTTCTCTTCTGACTGTACTCCCCAAAAGTCCAAATATTCTTGGAAAGGGTCATACCTGATTCAGTGATTAATGCCTGAATGTGAATATGAGTTAAAGCAGTCATCAGAGATCTCAGGCTGCATCAACAGGAGTAGAGCAGGCAGCATTAGGGAGGTGATAATCAGCTTGCTTTAGCACAGCTGAAGTGTCGTATCTACTAGAGGACACTGTACCTTATGTGTTCAGAGTGTCCAGAGGAGGGTGACTAGGCTGTAAGGCGATTTGAAACTACGGCAAAAAACAGCGATTGGAGGGACTGGAGAAAAGAACTCAGAGAACAGCTACTCAAATCTCTAGCTATGGAAGAACTGTTACCATTAAGATGGAGGGAAGGTGTTCTCTTTTGCCCCAGCAGAAGCCGTGGGTGTTATATTTCAGCTAAATACAGGGAAGATGTTCCCAGTCTTTACAGGCTTTCTGTAAAAGGAATGGGATGTGTGCAGAAGTCGTGAGTCCCCTGCCACTGAGGTGTGCAAGTAGAGATTAGGCCAAGACTTGGCAGGGATATGGTAGAGGTGGCTGTAGCTTCCACCGAGGATCAGAGGTTTCAGCTACGTGGTACCAGATTCCCCAAATTAGTCTCAAACGTTGAGTCTAGGACTCGGGGAACTTAGCTCACCTGGTCCCCCTACCCCACCCCAGCCTTGGGGTGGTGGCCAGTGGGGCAGCCTTTGGACCCTAGCCTGACCTTCTCCCTCTTCTTCCTCCCCCTTTGTCCCAGGGTGAAGGCCAAGAAGGGTGTGACCCTTCTAGGCACCAAGTCACGGAGTGGCCAGTGGCACGTGACCTCGGAGCTGTTGACAGGAGCAAAGCATTCAACAGCCACCGTGGATGTGGCCTGGGCTCAGGGAACACCCCTGCCCCCCTGGTGAGCCCAAGGTGGCACCTCTGCCCACCTCTCTGCAGGACAGGAATGTGGGAGGGGTGGGGGAACTCTTGATGGAGGAGGCCAGGCTTGCAGAGAGCTGGGACTTGGTTTATGGGCAGGATCCTGGGGCTGGAGCAACTTGGGTGGGCTGGACATAGCTCAGAGGCCTCCACTGAGGGTTTTGGAGCTCCTGGGCTGCTCCCAGCCCTTTATCCTTTGTTCTCCCTCCTTCCTTCACTCCTGCAGGGAGGGCCAGGGACCCTTGGAGATCCTGCAGCTGGACTTTGAGATGGAGAACTTCACTAGCCAGTCAGTCAAGCGGAGGATCATGTGGCACATTGACTACCGTGGCCACGGTGCCCTGCCTGACCTGGAGCGGGCAGTCACTGAGCTGACGGTCATCCAGCGGGATGTGCAAGCCATTCTGCCCCTGGCCATGGTGAGCAGGGCAGATGACCAGGCCAGTGCCTGCCTATGTGTACATGCATGTGCGGGAGGAAATATGCTCATCTGAGCATGTGTACAAATGGACGTGTGTGTTCATGGGGCCCAAGCCTGAGTATGAGTCTGCCCCCAGTGCCAGGTGTGCCCACGTGAGAAGGTGCATGCGTGTGTGCACTCATAGGAAGCAGGCGATGCTCTGTGTCTGGTGTGGTGAGGCCAGCAGGTGCTGAGGGGGGAGCAGTGAGAGAAGTCACTAGGGAAGGACCACTCAATTAAGGAGGAGGGGGCCATGTAGTTGTGTCTTGAAGGTCACATCAAAGGGCTCCTAGTTTGTTCAAAGGAACAATGGCTTTAGAAAGAGTACAGTGGGGTGGTAAGGCTGGAATGATTATCTGCGACCAGCCCAGGGCACCTTGCATGGCCAGGCATGTGTGTTGGATGTTACTGTGCAAGCCCTGAGGAGCATGGAAGATGTTTGAGAGGACAGTAGGGGACTGGGGAAGGGCTGCTTTCTGGCAGCAGAGTGAGGCGAACCCTGAGGCTACTGCAGAAGTCCAAGTGAACAGAGAAGAAGCTGAGAAGGAGCACGAGGCTGGCTGGCTGGATATCCCTGCTCATGTGTGTGAGTGTCCCCATGGGAAGGATGCACACCTGAGGAGTGGAGCAGCCAGGAGTCAGGGCCTTGGCTGGTGTGTCCCAGGAGAGCAGGCAACAGCAAGGAGACCCCTCTCCTCCCTTCTTCCCCATAGGACACAGAGATCATCAACACAGCCATCCTAACTGGACGGACAGTGGCCATCCCTGTCAAGGTCATTGCCATCGAGGTGACAGGTCTCGTCCTAGATGTCTCCGCCCTAGTGGAATGCGAGTCTGACAATGAGGACATCATCAAGGTGGGCTTCCTGGAGGTGGGGGCTCTGGGACAGAAAGCCTCAGGCGTTCAGGAGGAGCCCCAGACTAGAGTCCAGGTGGCTCTCTCTTATTCATCATTTGAGACTGAACTCACGCCTGCCCTGTTCCCAGACGCTTTCTGTTGGAACAGATGCCCCTCCCTTTCTTCCTACAACCCCCCGGCTTCCCCCATCCTACACTTCACCATGCCTTTCTGAAAAGTTTATTCCCAAGTCTGTTGACTCCCCTGGTGCTCCCTCTCCCCGCCCCTTGGTACTGCTCTGGCCAGTCCTGGAGGGCTTCCTGTAGGAATACGGAACAGACCCTTTGGAAGGCCAGAGGGGAGAAGGCAGTGTTCACACCTTCAGCTCAATCCAGCAAGTCACTACTGAGCCATGGTGTGTGACAGACACTGGGAAAAGCAACTGGGGGCAGGGGTGGGGAGTGGGTCCTGAACCCAGGTGCCAGTGACCAAATGCAGGAGTGGGAGGTCAGGGAGGAAGCCTCAAGAAGCACAAGTTGGGCCAGGACTGAGGAATATATACTACAGGCCCCACTCCCAGCACACACCCAACTCCTCCAATTCCTGAAGGCACCCACCTCTCCTCCCTCAACTCCCCATGCCCCTGAGCTTCTCCCCAGGGACCCACTCTGGCCCTGGGTCTTCCACAGCTCAGCACACAAATATATACTACAGGCCCCACTCCCAGCACACACCCAACTCCTCCAATTCCTGAAGGCACCCACCTCTCCTCCCTCAACTCCCCCTGCCCCTGAGCTTCTCCCCAGGGACCCACTCTGGCCCTGGGTCTTCCACAGCTCAGCACACAGGACAGTCATCTGACTCATATGGCCCAGTTTGCCACCTGCCCGAGAGGGCTCCAGATCTGCTCCTTCCTTGGCTTTGCACAGTGGTCGGAGGTGAGACGGGGGAGGGGGCAGGGAGTGGGCAGTGACGCGAGAGGATGTCCAGCCCTGGTACCTGTGGGGTAGGCCAGATGTGTGCCCTGCCAGCCTCTAGCAGGTGCCAAAGTCAGATGATTAGACAACTGAATTTGTTTCCCATTCCTGTAAATAATGCAGCTTGAAGGCGAGCAGGAGAGTAGGGGTACAGGTGTCCTTCTCCTCCTGCTCCACTTGGGCTAAGAGGGCTCCAGATCTGCTCCTTCCTTGGCTTTGCACAGTGGTCAGAGGTGAGACGGGGGAGGGGGCAGGGAGTGGACAGTGACGCGAGAGGATGTCCAGCCCTGGTACCTGTGGGGTAGGCCAGATGTGTGCCCTGCCAGCCTCTAGCCGGTGCCAAAGTCAGATGATTAGACAACTGAATTTGTTTCCCATTCCTGTAAATAATGCAGC